AAAGCCAACAAAACACAGCCGTCAGCTATCCAAGTGTGCAGCTGTGTCTTAGGATAGGACATTTCTATTTCTGAGGGAGGAGGGGGGTTTATCTATTTATTCTATTTATTTATTTAAGATGCATCACTGAGAACAAAGACAAATAACCATATAAGACACTTATCAGGAGACAAATAACCATATAATACATTTATCAGGAGCCCAACAGAGGCAGGTTAATTCCTCATTGTGTTTTAAGACAATACAAGCAAGCAATGATCACCTAAACCAGGTTTAAAAGTTTAAAACCCGTTCTCCAGGGAGAGAGATCCACCAAACAAACCCACTCAGTTTGATTCTGGCTAAATATAAAATATAACAGATACGATTGGTTCTCTTCTTGTTGCAAATGCAAACAAAGGGAATATTCTGCCATGTACCAATTAACCCTGTAATGCTAAACGTATCATATCTGATTCATACAGTTTCTGAAATGTTTTGCGTCTGACACCTTTTGCATTATTTAATGGTAAAAACTTTGCTCAAAATCCTAATTTTTATTTTATTTTTTTTTGTTTTATTTTTATTAATTTATATATTTATTTATGTATTTATTTATATATTTATTGTTATTTTATTTTTTTATTATTAATATTTTTCTATTGTACACAATCAGATACACCTGATAACAGGGGGCAGAAGACTACACAAAAAAATGATCTTGACTTATCGCATAGTAATAAATTATTAATATCAAAAACGTATTTCTGTTTTTTCTTTTTACATATTTTGTTAAAAGGCCAAATAAGGAATTCTTCTTAGTTTTGTTTTCTTCTTGGATCAGGCTTTAAAGGGTTAAGAAACTCTTTATCTGGAGTTATGATGGACACATCCCCAATCAGAAACGTTTTAAAGTGTTCAAAAGGGGGAACGAACATTCACATTATGTGAATTCACAACCAGTCTGTGACAAATCCGAGCTGCTCTGTGATTTTTCTGCTATTTGCTGCTGTCAGAATTGGGCTCTGGGAGACAGTGAGCAGCCCCAAACAAAAGCCCAAACTATTCAAAGTGTGTCGTGAGCACTTTACCGTTTCCTTCCATAAATAAAACACTTCACCCGCAGAACCCCGGGCGCCATTGTTTGTTTCTCTTCCTGCACCTGCGAATGAACTTGACATTTAGGCTGGAGGAAAATCCATCAGGTCCAGACCTTTGAACAGAGGCAGGGAGTGTGAAGAAACGGGAGTTTTGAGTATATTTCTGCCTCCTCTGGATGTTTGAGATTAACCCCCCGGCCCAG